AAAAAAAAAAAAAAAAAAAAAGGAGGGGGGGGGGGGGAGAAGATGCGTCCAAGGAAGGTAACTAGCCGGGCCCTGGATGCCCGAGGAAGAGAAAAGGCCGGTTGCTTCACATATTCTTTCAGTGATTTTAAAAATAGATTTTAACGACTCAGTCAAGTTGGAAAACCTCCGTGCAGTCGGGAAGCGAACTTCAGTTGCCTGGGCTGGTTCTATCTGCTTCACGCTTGGAAGTAAATCTCATTTACACAACGCAGTTAACCCGGATACCGAATTAACCGTTTTCTGTGTTCCCACTACGAATCGAAGTATAGAGTAACTAGACGGACTGGGTTTACATAACATGCTTAAGCCACAAAAACCTAAACAAGGTTAATACAAACCAAGTTTAACATGTGTACATATAGCCAGTAGGTCTTTATTTGACCTGTTACTCATGTTGTATGAATAATACTGTACAGCCACTGAATCGTAGGACTAACTTCGGTTCAGCAAGAATTAGATCGGCTTACATTGATGCCTTCCATAACTCTGGCAAGAAAATCAGCTCTTGACTGAGGGGCCTGCTGTAAGCTAAACGCGGGGGGGGGGGGGGCGCACGTTCATTCCCTGGTTGCCTCCCCAGGATCTGGAGGGAAAACGGCCCTCTAACATTTCAGCGATCCGCCAAAGGTTTCGAGCCTAGTCCATCCCACGCCTGTTCATTCAGAAGCAAGCGCTAGAATTCAATGTCATTTACTCTGCAATTCAGCAGGAATGGGATTCCAGACAGAGAGGAAACCTGAAAATTAAGAGAAAGAGCTTCATTCTGCGTGACAGGGGCTGCCAGGATATGCGTTTGTGTATCCACTCAGCTTGGGAAGGGACCAGGGCACAATTGCAGAGCCCTCGCTTTGGCGCGCAGGAGTTTCAAGTTCAGGCCCTGCCACTGTCAGGTGCAACCATAAATTAGTAGGTGATGAAAAGTATTTTTTTTTCCCGCCGGGGACCCTGGAGAATGCTACTTGGGCTAGAGGGACGAAAGGATTTCCTAAACTGCTACTCCCTTGCAGCGGGCAAGTTAACTGGCTGTGCTGCCTCCTCCTCTCTTATTCTCACCTTTTCTCCTACGGGATCTGCGGCGCCCCCCGTTCTGGCCCGAACCTCCCCTTTCCGGACTATTTCTTCCTGTCCGCACGCCAACGCCCCGCTCGTTTTGCTCAGCGTGCAAAGAATCCAAACTGTACTCGTCTTTCCCTCCGACCTCCCACTCCGCGATCTTTTCTCCCCAAATCCCCCTGGCTGAGCGCCCTCGACCGCTGGGAGATGCAAGAGGAACGACCGACCGAAAGACCACCCTTTTCTCCCAGCCCGGTCAGGGCTCCAGTGTTGGCTAGCTTTACAGGCGTTGATTGGCAGAAGGTTGACAGTGATGGGCAGGCGCCCTTTCCATGGAAACGGAGGGGCAGCCAATCTGGCGAGGCCAATAGCAGCAAATAAGCAGCAGAAAAGACGACGACGGCGAAGAATGTGCAAAGGGGGGGGTCGTTGGTT